TTAAATCAGACTTTCTTCATATACCCAAAACCAAAATTCTCTAAACCAACACTACTCCTAACTACTCTTTACTCTTCTAAAACTTTTTAAAGATTAGAAATAGATAGTTTTAATTCTTGGCTATAAGCAAAAAAAGAAGTAAATCTCATACTATAAAATGCCATATAAGGTACCTAAGTATCTTACAATTTACATGATAAAATTTGATTTGTACCTTCCTGAGTACTTTGTATGGAAGAGGATATATTATTTAGGGGTACATTGTAAGGGGGTATATTATTAAGTATCAGTATATTAAATGGAAGCAATACTATATTTCATTCTTCTAGCAAATATGGCTTTATATTTTATATTCTCATGCTGTAATATGGCAATAAATTAATTTTTTTTTTTATATAAGTTATGGTACATTTACAGTAATTACTATTAATAAAGGGTTTACTATTCATTTTTTTTTTTTTTTTTTTTTTTTTGCAAATATTTTTTTTTTTATATATTTTTTTTTTTAAGATATAAATATAAGATATAAGATGTAAATATAAGATGTAAATATAAAATATAAGATATAAGACTTTGTTTCTTTTATACTGAAAACTTATCATAAGTATAAACTTTAAAAAAACTTATTTTTAACATTAAGGTTCTCCTGAAAAGTATTTACTTCAGCAAAAAAAATACTGATAGTAGACAGCTCAGGAAAAACTTTTTGTAATTTCTTATCTTGAAAGGATTCCTGAAGCTACTGTACATGGAACAGCAAATAAATTTCAAGTTCAACCAAAGCAAATTTGGAATTAGAAAAATAAACAAGAAGAGCTATTGTTAGCTTAGCCTCATATTAAATATCTCAATATTGTTGCTCGACCAAATTATTCTAAACTCGAAGAGGAACTTGCTGAATGAGTTTGAGCTTTATGTAATAAATTAAAACTAGTTAGCCATATTATGGTACAAAATAAAGCTATATCATTAGCAAAATCTTCAAAATATATTCTTTACTATTCTAATATTAATAATTTTAAGTGGAGTAACAAGTAGCTTGATGGTTTTTTATGATGTAATAATTTTAGTAACCATTGTAGAACAACTGTTGTACAAAAATTACCAGCAGACTTAGAAATACAATAACAAGAATTTCTTAATTTTGGTCAATATCATCATATTCAATATGATTATCTATTACAATTAATGGGAAATATGAACAAGACCTCTCTTTCTTTTGATATGCCAAGTAACGTAACTATAGATGATAAAGGAAATAAAACTATTAGTATTAGAACTTATGGTTATGAAAAATTTTGCTTTACTATTGTACTTGCATGTTTGGCAGATAGTACGAAATTACCTCCAATAATCATTTTTAAGTTAAAGAATATTCTACGGCTTGAGTTTCTATCAGGTATAGTTATTAGAGCTAATACAAGTGAATAGATAAATAAAATAGAAATGAGTTTTTGAATAAATAAGATTTGACAAAATTGCACACCAAGTTCTGAGAATCTGCAGTCACTTTTAGTAATAGATTCTTTTCAAGATCATTTAGTTCCTTTTATTAAAAATAAGCTTGCTGACAAAAGTACTAATATTGCAATTATTCCTGAGAGGTTAATGTCAAAACTTCAACTACTTGATATATCAATTAACAAACTATTTAAAGCAAAGGTGTTTCTTTTCTATTTTTTTTTTTTTTTTATAGTTAATATATGTTAATACACCTTTTTATCAATAGATTAGAACTATGTATAATGAATAGATATCACAAGAAATAAGAGAATTAACTGAATTTAGATGAATTAAACATTCTCCATATAATATAATTGCAGAATGGATTAAGCATGCATGGGATGATATTGATACTCTGCTAATTAAAAATTCTTTTAAGTATTGTAGCATCTTAGTTGCAAATAATAGTTCAGAAGAAGATTTAATTTTTGATTATGATCATATTGAAAATAATAACAATGAAGTTAATGAATATATTTTTAATAGTAAAACTTAGTTTCACAACTTTAGTTTAACAAATCTTCTTATTTTAAAAATATTTTATTTTAATGAGATCCTGAATTACAACAAGATTTTTTATCTCAACAAAATCTCCAACAAGACTTTCATGATTTTTCACTCTAACAAGGCTTCCAAAACCTACTCTAACAAGGCTTCTAAGACCTACTCTAACAAGACTTCCAAGATCTACTCCAACAAAGCTTCCAAGACCTCCTACCTTAACAAGATTGTCAAAACCTTTTATTCTAACTACATCTTTCACTCCAAGAATACCTTCTTCTCCAAGATCTTTTATATCAGCAAAACCAACTAAATTTCTTGCCTCATGAAGAATTTGAACATAATTATAATCAGAATGAGATAGACAATTTCATGAATTAATGGGTTTAATGATTTGTAATCGCATAAATTTAAAGTTTAAATAAACTTACATCTTTACCTCTTATATTGTGATAATATAAGATTTTTAGATCCAATATTTGAATATAATTAACTTTAAAATTATAAATATAAGTATCTGAAGGCATCTGTTTTGAAGAACAAATTATAAATATGTATTAATAATTGAATAGTAACATGACTAAATTATAAAACTTGACTATCAAATATTTTTTTTACAAGTTTCTTTTAATTTACAAAATAATTTAGGTGTATCTATGATTTGTATTTTCAATTTGTAATATACACAGGTACAAATTTGCCTTTCCAAAAGTTATAGAATCTGTTATAAAGAATGTATAGGTATAGTTAATATGAAAAAAAAGTATTTTTGTGATGTTTGAAACTCATGAAAGGAACAATCTAAATGAAAATCTAGTTATTGATTTGTACTCAGGTATCTTACAAAATATTGCATTCAATGACCTTGAAATATACCTAGTACAAATCAAGAGAGTACAAATTCAGGAGTACCTTATATAGTATTTTACAGTTGTTGCATATTTAAAACTTCTATAGAAGAATAAGACTAAAGATATTTTTTTTTTTTATTATTATTAATTGATAATATCAGTTAGGAAAAGAATTAGTATATTTATATATCAGAATAGTATATATGTGAAGCTAATGTATATTCCTAATGTGCACTATTGTTACTAAGACTATTTGTTAATAGTTAGATATCCAGTATGATATTACACCCTCATTTTCTATTTGCTAGCTGATTAAAACAAAGTTACTATTGACTATAGAGGAGGTTAAGAGAGATTTCTGAAAAAAGGAGAAGATTAATTAGAAAAAACAATAGGTAAGGAGTTGGAGAGTTGGTTAATATATAGTAGATTTTTTGTAAGGCTTGTAATTCTTGTTAGTAATAGAGAGTTTGAATTAGTTTTTTTCTTTTTGTGTTTTGCACTTTATGTTAATTGTTTAATTATAGTTAATTTGTATTATTGTAGGTGTAGGTGAGATATGAATTGAATTTGAGTTAGAGAGAATGAGTTGGAAGTTTTGGAATGTTGTTTGGGTTGTTGAGTAGTTGGTTATTTTACCAATTTTGAGTTCATTGTGAGAGATATAGAGAGACTAATAGTTTTTGTTTAGGTTTTGTAAGGTGATTAGGTTTAGAGTATTTAGGAAAAGATTTATTGAATTAAGTTTGGTGTTAGGCCAGATTTCTAGTATAGGTAATGATATTACTTGATCTGCTAAATGTTTATACTATTTAGGAGTTAGACCATGAGAGGATTTGTGGATTCTAAGATAGATATTTTTCTATAGAAGAAAGAATAGTTATCTGCAGTAAGAAGTTGTTTAAGAAATAGAATTTGGTTGTTTCTAAGACTTAGAGTCATCATGGCATTAGAATTTGAGAGGAAGTTGTATATGGAGTTGAGTTGATACATTTGGTTTAGATTTTGTGAGTTATCAAAGGAAAGGTTATTAAGTGATATATTATTTTTGTATAGTAGAACTAGTTGGTTAATAATTGTAAAGTTTAATGTTTTCCTTTGGTTTAAAAGAATAGTTTTTTTTTATCAGAGTTGGTTACCAAATCTTGGTTAGCTATTCTTTGATACATGAGAGAGTAATTTGAGTTAAGAAAGTATTTGAATTTAGGCATCTGTTAATATTGCTACTATTTGTTAGTAGAAATAATTTATTAAGTATTAGTATGTTAAAGAGTTAGGAGTTAGTAAGGATATCATTATTTGTGTTTGTTGATAGGTGTAGAATGTGTTTGGTGTTTTTGTTAAGAATACTTGATAGTTGATTAATTTTTTTCTAAGGTAAAGAACAGATTTGGAGAAGGTATTCAATTGCTAGTAAAAGAATCGTATTGAATAATCTTGATATGTGTATGGGAAGGAGCTTTTTGAATTTAATAAGATGAGTAAATTGGTTTATTTTGTTAGTAATAATATTAATTGTGAGTTTGGATAAGCTATTTCTATTCAGAAAGATACCTAAGTATCTTATAGTTTCCTCTAGTTTATGAAGTAGAATTTGTTAGTTTTTGAAGAGTAAAGAGTAGTTAGGAGTAGTGTTGGTTTAGAGAATTTTGGTTTTGGGTATATGAAGAAAGTCTGATTTAA